AACGGTTAGGTTGGAAAAGGAGGGAACGCTGGCAGGGAAAGCTGCTGCTCTGACTGTGCGAGCACAGGAGGCGGTCGCGGCTCAAATGACACGCGGGGAAGGGAAGCGACGCGACCGAACAGGAACCTCACAAAATCCTTTTTCAACCCTCAGCCCAGGTCCAAGTGAAAGAACGAGGCTCTGCTTAACAAATCCGAGCTTCAAAACCCTCCACGCGGCCAAGAGGGCGTCCTCTGGAAACCCTCCTGTCCCCAGGAGATCCCCCTCCCTCTCCAGCACTGCACGGAAATTTCTGCCAGATCCACTCAAGTTTTTCTACCTGCCAACCTCCCTAAAACCATCCTGCCCCCAGCCCCCAGCTCCCTGCAGCTGAGGGAGGGACACGCTTCCCAACCTGGGGGCTTTTTTTCACAAAGCTGTTGGCCAGCAAGCCCCATCTCTACAAAACCGAGCAGCACCGTCACTAAACCTTTCCCAAATCTTTATCACAAGGCAGCAAACCCCCTCCGGCTGCCGGGAAGGGCCAATAGTCCCTTGGGAATGGCCACTGGCCACCATGGGAAGCACAAGTCGTCTGCAGAAGGCAAAACGCTCCTCCCCGAGAGGCGTGTTGGATGACTGGGAGGCGGTGGTGGCTTAGTGGAGATGGATTTGGTCACCCACCGCTCAAATACCGATCAGCAAGGGCTGAGTTTCAAGAGCCCGGGCGCAGGGGAATGCGCCCCGGGCTCTGCAGTATGTGACGGCGGTAGCAGGGAGGGGTTTCTGTCCGCAGGTTGTAAATCATCCCCTTATTTTCCCTTTTAAAATTGAGGCCCTGCAGATTTCCCAAAGAGCGGCTGCTCGCTAGAGACTGGCAAGAATTCCTCTGCTCTGAATCAGAGGGATTCCCAGCGGGATTTCTGCTGCGCCGAGCCCGCAGGGCCGGAGCTTCGGGAACTGCTGCGACAAGGGGCAGCGCTTCTCCCGCCCGCCTTCCCCTTCTGAGGAGGGAGGTTTGGCCTGGGGCTCCACCGGAATAAAACTGAATTACTGCAGGAAAAGGCGCTCGGACTGACAGGCCGGAGCCCTTTCGAGCTAATCCCAAATATTTTAGGTGTCACCTCGGGGAGAGGAGCAGATCCCAGCCAGGTGCCTTCTATAGAATCGTTTGCTAAAGCAGCAGATGCAGGTTGGCAAGAAGTTGAAGAAAAAAAAAAACCAACAGCAAACTCTGGGAAGGAGACAGTTGTGAAAGGAAAAACCAAACCAACCCTATCTTCAACGAAAGGACCTGCTTTTGAAAGGACAGGCTAACTTAGAATTGTACCAAAGTCAACGACCCAAGTTGCCTGGGACTGTTTTTGTTTCTTTTAATCCCCCCGCAGAGGTTTGCCTCTCGTGGAGGAGAGGTCAGCTGTACATCACAACACTTCATATATGCACTAGCAGTTAGATTGGTTTCTAAATTAAAAAAAGATGGACTTTTTATATATTGAACATAAATAAAAAAATTACAAAATGGTCACCTTTCTTACAGAACGGATGCAAACTGGATTATGAACGTGCCTCCAGGTGAAGTTGGTTTCTCCCCTGCCCCCACCCCATCCCAATAATAAATAAATAAAATTCATTAAGTTTTGGATCCTTTAGTGGTGCAGATTGGGCGCTCGGAGCGTTACTGGGTTTTCTTCCCTGTGCCGTTCTTGTCCGCAGAGTTTGTTGAGGTTACCAAGTTCACGGGCCCGTCTGAGTGCAGTGAATCCTTGCGGGGGGGCATGCGCTCGTTAATGCGATCCAGCCCTCGGGCTTCTTCGAAGCTGCGGATCTTGTGCTGCGGCGAAAACCCGCGGATGGCTGCGGAGAGAAAGGCCCAGAAAGAAAAAAAAGTCAGTTTGAGTCACAGGCGCCCGGACGGGAGCCCTTTAGCACACGGCAGACACGCACGGGACAGGGTCGGGGTGACAGAAAGCATGTGTCTGGCTGTGGGAACCACGAGATGGGTCTGTAGGTGATTTTTTTTTTTTTTTTGGCTTTGCTGTGGTTTTTAGGGATCACGGTGCAGCTGGGGAGTTGGACCGTGCTAAGTCACAGCAGCAAAATGCAGCACCCAGACCGCAGCGACTTGCTCTGCTCCCTAAATCTCTCTTTGAATACTTTAGCAGCAGGAACTTGGAAGACCAGACAAGTGCTCAATGTCCCCAGACAGGGAAATCTCAGGAAACTTTCAAAGCTGAAAAAACACGATACAAAAAAAAAAAAAAAAAAAAAAAAGGCAAACCCAAAAACAACACGACAAAGACACCACCACAAGGCTTTCACTCCGACACAAAAACCACACACTGCAACACCAGGAGAGGGAAACTGCTAGTCCTCGGGTCGCAAATGCAACGCTTCTTGCATGACCAGGAGACACACAGGCAGCCTCAGGAGGGACAGAATCCCACCAAGGGCGGGCTTATCCCTGTTTCATCACTACGAGGCCGAGTAGATCATCCTTGCGGTGATGATACGGACCAAATGTTTGACTTCTACATATTACGGATAAGAAAAAAAAAAAAAAGGGGGGGGTTGTGCCAAATGTTTTTAGCGAGGACTTGGCTGCGTTACAAATCAACTTCCCTCGGCAATCAGAAAGTTCTCTCGCAGAGGTACGGCCCCATTTATCAATAGCTGAATGGAGATATCGAGGAGAAAAACCTCCCCAGGCCATCACCTCGGGAATCTCTTTCTACACGAACTACAGGGTGAAAACTGCTCCTCCCCACTGGGACCACCTCGGCCCACGTGTGGGGAAGGCAAGGATGACATCAGAGCCTCGTGATCCGCCGTTTTCTAGATGATTTTTGACCGAGCGTGCTGGCGGCCTTCACCGGATCGAGTTACCCAGGGGATGAGCTCAGCCACGAGGCAGCTGAGATCAGATCGCAGGACCCCAACGCCCCGAGGTCTCGAGAGGGCACTCTGGGAATAACGGCATCGCACGAAGCAATAGCCTCACTAAGGCTAAAATAGACTTGAAGCAGCCCACTGTGTATTTTTTTGCTTCCCAGCAGGGGCCCATCCTCCCCCACTTCTGGTGATGCAAGAGTAAAAAGCTTCCATAAGGCTGATAAAGCTCTTTAAAATTAGCGCACGCACACACAGAGATGATTTGAGTCTCTCGCCGGATTCTAGCCATACCTTCCCGTGCCTCTACCGCTTCTACTGTGGCTGCAATACAGAAGAACAGTGGCATGCAAAAAATGAAGACAGAAAAAAAAAAAAAAAAAAAAAAAAAAAAAAAAAAAAAAAAAAAAAAAAA